GGGCCCCCCCGCGGGGCCTTCCGGGGGGCCCCCTGGGGGGCCCCCAGGGGGCCCCCCGAGGGGCCCCCAGGAGGGAAGGAGAGAGCTTGAGGGTTTGGGAATTGGAAGAAGGGTTTAGGGTTTGCTGCGGATGTCAAAACCCTCCTTTCGTGTTTGGAGGTTGCAGTGAACTTTTGCTGCGAAGTTGGGAAGAAGCAAAAAGAGAAAAAGATCATTTGAAACGTAAATAAATGTCTTTTTTGTTTTAATTATTTGAAGTCTCTTTCTGTATAAAGGCCACTAAACTCTCGACAAACCCTTGTTTCTAATCCCTAAACCCTAAACCCTAATCACGCCGCAGCCGCTCGCCAAACCCTAATCTCCAAACCCCAAACCCTAAACCCTGAATCCAAAACCCTAGCGTGTGCGCGGTAAAGCCTAAACCCTAAACCCCAAACCCTAAACCGCAAACCCTAAACCCTAAACCCTAAACCCTAAACCCTCTTGCTTGCTTCGGGGCTTTGTGCGCGCAGCATTCGGTAAAGGGTTTTCTTTTTTTTCTTCTCCTTTTATTTTTTCTTTTTCTTTTCGAGTTTCTCTTTTCCTTTCTTTCGGGAAGGCCAGGAGCTTCACGCCCTTCAGGAAACAGTCTCTCTATAGGTGAGCAGCAGCAGCAGCAGCAGCAGCGGCAGCAGCAGCTGCAGCAGCAGCAGCAGGAACAGCAGCAACAGCAGCAGCTGCAGAAGCTGCAGGGCCAGCTGCAGTAGCAACAGCAGCAGCTGCAGCAGCCGCAGTAGCAGCAGCTTGCTGCAGCTAGCTAGCTAGCCAGCTAGCCAGCCAGCTAGCTAGCTAGCTAGCTATCTAGCTAGCTACAGCAAGAAGTGTATATAATTGAATAGCTGGATTTGACGGGCGTTGCTGCTGCGGTGTCTGTACACCTGGTTAGTTGCTGCTGCTTGCTTTTGCTGTTTAGGATTTGCTGCATTTGTTTTGGGTCTTTGAAGCAGCAAGAAATCAAATCCATTTCTTCGCTGCTGCTCAGCGCCATTGCAGCAGCAGAAAAGCCGGAGAAAAAAACAGATAAGGAGGCAAGAGACGCAAACGCCCCTGCTGCTGCTGCTGCTGCTGCTGTGCTGCTGCTGCTGCCGTGCAGCTGCTGCTGCTGCTGCTGTGCTGTTGCTATATATAAATATAATAACAACTAAAAATAATAAAATTAAAATGTCTTTTGTTTTACTCTGCAGCACTCTGCTGCACTTCGGCACCGCAAAATGCTGTACATCTTAGAGGGCTTGCTGCTGCTGCCAGATGTCCTCAGCAGCAGCAGCAGCAGCAGGGAATCTGCAGCAGCAGCAGCAGAAAGCTCGGACCCCTCCTTGCCCGCGTGGCTGCTGTCTACTTTCCTTGCTTCTGTTGCTTTTCGTGTCTCTCCTCGTCCTGCTGCTGCAGCAGCAGCAGCAGCAGCAGCACCTGCTGTTTTTGCTGTTGCTCCTAAGCACCTGCCTCAGCCGCTGCCGCCGGAGGCTCCCGAGGGCATGGAGGACCTGTTGCAGCAGCAGCAGCAACAGCAGCAGCAGCAGCAGCTGCCTGAGCTGCTTGTTGTTGATCTGCAGAGCAGCGGCAGCAGCAGCGCAGCAGCAGCAGCAGCACGGCGTCTGCTGAAGGGGAAGCTATGCAGCCTTCTGGGCAGCAGCAGCAGCAGCAACATCGCGAGGTGCTCCCGCGGGGCAGTAGCAGCAGCAGCAGCAGCAGCAGAGACACTGGACACAGTGCAGCAGCTGCAGCAGACGCAGGCGCTGCTGTTTGCCCTCTCAACAAAAGAAGCAGCAGCAGCAGCTGGCGGCTCCCCGCTGCAGCTGCGAGCCCGCACCCTCAACAGCAGCAGCAGCAGCAACAGCAGCAGCAACAGCAGCAGCAGCAGCAGTGAGGCGAAAGTGCACTTAGAGCTGCACTCTGCAGTTTATCTCCCAAGCCTTAAAGGAAGCAAAAAGAAGGAGAAGCAGCAGCTGCTTTCCTTCTGCTACTTCGCGTCATCTCAAGGAACAGCCCTTGCTGCTGCTGCTGCTGCTGCAGCAGCAGCAGCAGAAGAGCGCCCCCAGAGGCAGCAGCAGAACATTCAGGCGGGGCTTGTTGCTGCTGCACAGGCCCTGAGTGTGGCTTTGTGCACTTTGTCTCTGCTGCCTTATTTGCTGTGCTGCGAGCAGCAGCAGCAGCAGCAGCAGCAGCAGCAGCAGGAAGATGAAGAAGAGCCAGAAGCAGCAGCAAGTGAGGAGGCCCAGGAGGAAGCTGAAGAAGAGCTGGAGGCGGCGCTGCATGCGCTGCAGCAGCTGCTGCTGGTGGCCTCTCCGCTGCAGCACCAGCTGCAGCAGCAGCAGCAGCAGGGCGGTTCTGAGGAGCCAGAGGCAGCTGCTGCTGCTGCTGCTGCGCTGACGCAAGCAGCAAACTGCAGCAGCAAGCTGCTGCTGCTGGGCGGCAACACTGCAGCAAAAGGCTTGCTGCGAGAAGCAGCAGCAGCAACATGGCGCTGCTTGTGTGTCTTTGCTTCCCGACGGGCCCTGCTACAGCTAGCAGGCGTTGCTGCTGCTGCTCCCAGCCGCAGCAGCAGCAGCAGCAGCAGCAGCTCGGAGTCTGAGGACGAAGACACAGAAGAGGAAAGCGAGGCCAGCAGCGAAGAGGAAGCAAATGAAATAAAAGAAATAAATAAATCAAAAGAAATAAATAATTCAAAAGAATTAAATAGATCAAAGGAATTAAGTAATTCAAAAGAAGCAAAAGAAGAAGAAGACACAAATGTGCTGCTGACACCTGACGAGGCCCTGAAGGCGCTGCTTGACGACGGTGAGCAGCAGCAGCAGCAGCAGCAGCAGCAGCAACCAAATAAATAAATAAATAAATAAATAAATAAATAAATAAATAAATAATCATTTAAATAAAATATTTAGAAGAGAAGAAGTTGATAAGTGATATTTAAGACAAACAGCCGCGCGCAGCCATAGCGCTGCTGCTGCAGCTAATAGCAGCAGCAGTAGCGGCAGCAGCAGCAGAAGCAGCAGCAGAAGCAGCAGCAGAAGCAGCAGCAGGTTTATTTCTTTCGGGATCTTACTAAATTCCAAATAAATGACACTTTTATTATTAATTTGCTAATTGCTAAGTCCATGAATTAAAGATTTATTTGCCATTTCTTCATTATTTATTATTTGCTGCTGGTTTGCTGCTCAACTAGTTCTTTGAATTGACTCTTTTGCTGCTGCTGTTGCTGCAGATGGACTTGGCCCCCTTGGCGGCTTCCTGCAGCAGCACCAGCAGCAGCAGCAGCAGCAAGCTTCAGCGCGGAAGCTGCTGCTGCGGCAGCGGCAGCGCTTTGGAGAGTTGCGGCTGCGGGCCTTGTCGGCCCTTGAGGTGTACATACACTGCAGCAGCAGCAGCAGCAGCAGCAGCGGGTGGAACTCGCTGTGTTTGGAGCTGCTGACTGCCCTCTACAGCAGCTACAGCCGCACTTTGCTGCAGCAGCAGCAGCAGCAGCGGCGGCAGCGGCAGCAGCAGCAGCAGCTCGAGGTGTACGGACAGCTCAGCAAGAAGCTGCGAGCAACAATGGAAGCAGCATTTAAAACAATTAAAAGAAGCAGCAGCACAAAAGACAACAAAGCTGCAGCAGACAGAAGCAGCAAAAACCCTCTTGCTGCTTGCCACCACGCACTGCAGCAGCAAACGCTGCTGGCAATCCAGCAGCAGCAGCAGCAGCAGCAGCAGCAGGAAGTGGGGGCCGCTAAGCGCAGCAAAAAGAGGCAGCAGCAGTCTCAAGAGGAGGCGCTGAACAGCAGCAGCAGCAGCAGCAGCAAAGAAAGAGCAGCGGACGTAATTGCTGCTGCTCCCTTGCTGCCGGCCCTAGACAGCAGCGAGCGCCTGCATCAGCTGCTGCTGCAGCGCAGCAGCAGCAGCAGCAGCAGTGTAAGAGTTGATTTGTCGGAGTCGATGCTGCAACTGGTGGCTGAGTATACCTTAAAGGTGCTGAAGAGCAGCAGCAGCAAACTGCCTGCTGCTGCTGCTGCTCTTAACCAGACACTAGGAGCAGCATTTTTGTTGCGGCTGAACGCTCTGGAGGCTCAGGTTCGGAAGTTTAAAAGCAGCAGCAGCAGCAGCAGCAGCGAGCAGCAGGAGGAGGAGGAGCAGCAGCAGAAGCAAAAACGGCGCAAAAAAGACCCGCTGCAGCCCCAGCAGCAGCAGCACGAACAGCAGCAGCAGCAGCAGCAGCAGCAGCAGCAACAGCAGGAGGGCAGCAGCACGCTGGAAGAAGTGCTGCAGCTGTGTGTCTCCTCTCGTGCTGCGCTGCGCTGCTGCTATTTGGATTTAAATTTCTTTTCTTACTTTGCAGAAAGAGCTCCTGAGGTGTACATACACCTCAACTTATATGCTGCAGCAGCAAAAGCTCGCTCCCCTTTTGTGCAGCGCGAGCTGGCGCAGCTGGCGTTTCAGGTGTACAGACACAGCGGCTTCTTAGCAGCAGCAGCAGCAGCACGGCAGCAGCAGCAGCAGCAGCAGCACCAGCAGGGGCTGCTGGACCCCCAGGAGGTCGTGCTGAGTCTGCTCGCGAAAAACAGAAGGAGAAGCAACACGGAAGCGGCGGAGAGCAGCAGCAGCAGCAGCGAGCAGCAGCAGCAGCAGCAGCAGCAGCAGCAGCAGGTGCCTGCTCACCTCGAAGCAGCAGTGCAGCGAGCCCTAGAGCCCCCAATGGTTCCCTTGAAGGCCTTTAAGTCTCAATCGCGTTTTGCTGCTTTTGTTTTGAAGGCTTTGCTGCAGCTCTTAACAGCAGCAGCAGCAGCAGCTGTCCGAGAGCAGCAGCAGCAGCAGCAGCAGCAAGAGGAAGCGGAGCAGGAGGAGGGCCAGCAGCGACAGAAGAAGAAACGAAAAGAGACGAAAGACAAGCAGCAGCATGCTGCAGCAAACAGCAGCAGCAGCAGCAGCAATTTGGAGTGTACGTACAGCAGCGAGTCTCAGAAGCAAACAGCAGTGCGGCTGCTGCTGCAGCAGCTGCTGCAGCTGCTGCGGCTGTTTGTGAAGCGCGCAGCAGCAGCAGACCGAGCGACGCCCGCAGCAGCAACACCAGCAGCAGCAGCAGCTCCAGCAGCAGCAGCAGCAGCAGCAGGGAGCAGCAGCAGCAATTCTTTAAATGATTTAATTAAATTAATTTGCAAAGACAAAGAAATGATGGAAGAGACAGTGCGGGGAGCTGTACAGACAGCTGGAGGAAACAAAAACAAAAAACTCCAAAATGAAATTTTCAAATTTCTTGAGAGACTCGCAGAAGAAAAGCCCCAAGCAGCAGCAGCAGCAGCAGCAGCAGAAGATGCAGCAGCAGCAGCAGACGCAACAGACAAGGAGGCAACAGCAGACACGGCTGCAGCTGCGGCTGCAGCAGCAGGCAAAAAGGCAGCCGCAGCAGACATAACAACAGCAGCAGACGAAACAGCAGCAGCAGCAGACAAAGCAGCAGCAGCAGCAGCAGCAGCAGGAAAGAAGCGGCGGATGGACGGAGAGGCAGCAGCAGGAAGAAAGAGAAAAGAATTAAAAAGAAAATCTGCAAATGAAGTTTAGATTTAATGTATCTTTTTCCTCGAGCTGCTGCAGTTGCTGCAGCAACAGTTCTAGCTGCTGGTGTTGCTGCTGCTGCTGCTGCAGCAGCAGTTCTAGCTGCGGCTGCTGCTGCTGCTGCTGCAGTGCTGCGGTGTACGGACAGCCTTTTGCGAAGGATCCAAATTAAAACATAAATAAATGAAATAAATAAATTAATTAAATAATAAATAAATAAATAACAATGAAAAGAACTGAAGATGAACCAATCAAAAAGACTTTTTATTTCTCATCTTTTTGGCTTTCAGGAAATAAAGAGGTTTTCGGGGAAGCAGCCAAACCCTAAACCCTAAACCCTAAACCCTAAACCCTAACCCCTGAAGTGTATCTAGAAGCCCGGGAGATGGCTGAGTTGCTGCGGCAAAGGCGCATGCGGTAGACCCTAAACCCTAAATTAGGGTTTACTAAGTTAGCGACTTGGGAGAGGCAAAAAGAAGAATTTGCAGACGAAAAGAAATTGAAAGATATTTATTGGGGTTGCTGCCGGCAGCTGCTGCTGCTTGCTGCTGTTGCTGCTGCTTGCTGCTGCTGCTACTTGCTGCTGCTGCTACTTGCTGCTGCTGTCACTGCCTTCCTTGCTGCCTGCAGCTGGTGTCTGCTGCTCGTGCCTGCTGCTGCTGCCTGCTGCTGCCGCCCGCTTCTGCTGCTTGCTGCAGCTGCTGCTGCCTGTTGCTGCTGCTGTTGCGCTTGCTGCTAGTTGTACTGTCGGGTGTATCGACAGCTGGCTTTTGCGCTGTACAGGCAGCTGGCTGCGGTGTATAGGCAGCTCGCCTCCTTCTCTAGATCAACTTGAGTAAATAAATCGATCACAATTAATTAATTCTTTATTTTTATTTTTATTTTTATTTATTATTTATTATTTATTATAAATTGCAGACTTTGTTGCAAAGTAGCGACGGAGTGTAGGCGTAGCTCTCCGATAAGGCAGCAGCTGATCTCACCTCATTGGGCTTAAGTTCCATCATTTTTAAGCATTTAAAAGGCAAAATTGGTTAAAACAAGTATCAATTTATACTTCTTTTTACTTTTTATTTATTATTTCCATTTTAAATGATTAAATATGCCGCGGGAGTTGGCAGTTGCTGCTGCGGAGCGCCGCAGCGGCGCGCGCATGCACCTGCAGCCCCAGCAGCAGCAGCTTTTCGCCGTTTCTTTTGCTTCCAAAAGACTTTAGATCCTTTTATTTATTTTAATTCTTCAAAAGCTTTCAATTTCTGCTTTTATTTCCCCCAAAACAACCCAGATTCAGGTGTCCAGACACCCCAACACTTGCTGCAGCATACACCACTCATGTCCTCTCCAGGCTTTTCCCCCATTTCCGAAGACGGAGAAGTTGAAGAGGGGCCCCCTGGGGGCCCGACGGGGGCCCCCCTGGGGGGCCCCCCTGGGGGGCCCCCCGGGGGGCCCCCCGGGGGGCCCCCAGAGGGGCCCCCTGGAGGGGCCCCGCGAGGAGATGTGGGGGATACGCCGGCGGAGGT